CTTGCGGGCTTGTGTTCAGAGTTTCAGCACTGTGGGCTGGGCTAGGGAACAGCAGCGGGAGAGCGAGGGCGTGGTGGCTATGAGTTTTTTGTATTGCGGTTCTCCCTCCCCACGCCCTCCGGGCTTGCTCACTCTCTGTGCTCCTCTTCGCTCCCCTCGGTTAGATGATGTGCTTGTGTTGGGGGCGAAAACCAGACTGCACACGACCGATGACAACATCGCCCTCCTCGTACATAAATCGGCGACGTCGCCGGTTGGGCGCTCTGGCGGCAGGACCACTCGTCTGCCGGATACTGGCGTGCCCCGTGTCTACGTGCCAATGCTGATGCGTCCGTGGGTCCTTCATGCATGCCATACGGCCGCGTCATTCCATCTCGGCGTCCATCGTACACAGCGTCTGCTCGAGCGCTTCTACTGGTGGATTGGTTTGGATCGTTCCGTGCGCTGGTGGCTTCGGGCGTGTTTGGTGTGTCAAGCTCGCAAGACTTCACGTCAGACTGCTCGGTGGCCCGTCATCGCAATGCCATTGCCACAGGGGCCTGGTACGGTCGTCGGCGTCGACTACTTCGGACCTCTGCCAGTGACTGCCAAGGGCAACTCCTACATTTTGTTGTTCACAGACCGTTTCAGTCGGAGAGCCGACATGTTCGCAGTTACAGCGGCGGAATTTACGGCGAGAGGGACGGCTCACATCTTCGTCAACCAATACATGACCAAGTGGGGATGTCCGACTACGTTATTGTCGGACAACGGACTGCATTTCTGCTCGAAGCTCTCCATGGCGATCTACGAGGTGATGAAGATCAAGAAGGTCACCACCAGCTCCTACCACCCACAGACCAACGGCGGCACGGAACGCGTCAACCACACGATGGCCCAGATGCTTGCGGTGGTCGTCAACGAACAGAAAACCGATTGGGACATACATCTCCCGCACGTTGAGTTTGCCTACAACAATTCCGTGAACCAGTCTACTGGATTAGTGCCAAACGAGATCCACATCGGACGCATCCCGCGACTCCCGCTTTCGGTCTTCGATCGTCCCACGGTAGGTGGTCATCAAAGCTTGGCCCGCGATCAACTCGAGTATTGCAACCTGGTCGTCGATCGCCAGCGCCGGGCCTACGAACTTGTCCGTGAGTACAACGCCCTGAAGATTTCGCGAGTCGAACGCCGAAATTCATCCCTGCTGGACGCCATTCACAAGCTCCCTCAGTTTACCGTTGGCGGGTGGGCTTGGGTGTACAACACGGCTGCTACAATTCGACAGGGTGTGCAGAAGGACACGGACCAAGAGGTGCTCAAGGCCAAATTCGCACTTTCCTGGACGGGGCCCTACAAAGTTCTTGCGGTGGGTCCCACCTCTGCCGACGCCACTCCGGACGGCCGCCCGTTGGCGCGTAAACTCCTCTACCTGGACCTGCCTTCCGATCTTTCCGGCCCGGCAGCTCGTTGTCGCGTGTCTGTCCTTCGTTGCAAGCCCTGTCGCTATCCGTACGAGACGGACGACTTGCCGCAATCTCTGCCCGCCGAGCTTTCGCATTTTGTTCTGCACTCTTTTGGAGATAAATGTCCACCTTTCCCCGTCACTGTGGATGATGTGTCGGTGCCTGTCGGGCGCCTCGAGGTCGACTACATCTCGGGACATCAACTGGTGCGGGGCCGTAGCGGGGTTCTCGCTGTCCTGTACCAGACGCATTGGGTAGGCCTGACTACTCCTTCATGGGAAGGGGAATCCGACCTTGATCAATTCCGTCGACGCATCATCTTGAACTGGTCCCGGGAGGCCTGCCAAAGCAAGCAGGGTAACTGTACATATCGAGTGGCTCGGACTCGCGCGGCACAGCGGGAGCTAGCCCGGAATCGTGGAGAACGCTTTTTACCTCCTGGGGCTGATCTTGTGCTGAACGTGACTTGGCTTCGTCGTTTCAGCACTTCGCCCCTCCCAGTTGGCGCGCGGCTGTGGTACAAGGCCCGGGATGGATTGTGGTGGACCGGNGGGGAATCCGACCTTGATCAATTCCGTCGACGCATCATCTTGAACTGGTCCCGGGAGGCCTGCCAAAGCAAGCAGGGTAACTGTACATATCGAGTGGCTCGGACTCGCGCGGCACAGCGGGAGCTAGCCCGGAATCGTGGAGAACGCTTTTTACCTCCTGGGGCTGATCTTGTGCTGAACGTGACTTGGCTTCGTCGTTTCAGCACTTCGCCCCTCCCAGTTGGCGCGCGGCTGTGGTACAAGGCCCGGGATGGATTGTGGTGGACCGGACGTATTGGGGCTCATCAGGGCGGCTCGTGCATCGTTCGATTTTTGGACGACCCGGGCCCAAGCGTTCTCCCTCTGCCTGCGCATCTCTTCTCCACCGCCTTGGACGCCGTCTGCGGATCATGGTTTTAGAGAAACATCGTTCGCGCCCTCTGGGCGACAACCGTGGTCGCACTCCGCTCCTTGCTGACTCCTTACCGTCGGCTGTTCCCACCATTTCTTCTTAGCGTCGTCGTTTTCATATACCAATCGGCCTATTTTTGTCTTTTGTGCCATCCTTCTCACCGACGTTTTGCTTTTTTTTTGCTGTCACCTTCCGTTTTGTTTTGTTTTGTTTTGTTTTGTTTTTCGGTCTTGTCTCTTTTCGTTCGTTGGCTTATTTTGTTTTGGACGCTGGGGCAACGCCGCCTCAAGACACGCAGTGTCGAGTGATCCTTCTTCCTTGTTGCCTGCATTCATCTGAATCAGTGAACTGCCGCGACCTAGATGTCCGTTCTCTCTCGCCATGAAGTATGTATTTATTTTGTTGGTCTTTGTTTCTCTCGACAAGCTCTCTCCGAAGTTTCGTCGGTGTTGTCTGCCTCTGAACACTTGGAAAAAGAGTTCCCCAAGTTTCGTCGGTGATGTTTGCATCGGGACACTTGGACACCGAGTCCCCCGCGTTTTCCTGGTTCGCCTGTTTGCCAACTAATGTTGTCTTTTTTTGTTTTTGTTCCATCGTGCCGCAGAAGTGTTGCATACTCTTGGTGCTTCGGGATTCCATCCCGTGGCGTCGCCTTCTCCCATGGATTTTCGTCGTCACCCACACTTCGTTCTGCTTCGTCTCCATCATCTCCACCTTCGGACGACGCCTTCATCACAGTAGCGCCCCTGAGTCGTCGTCTTGTTGTGTGAATCTCTGCGACTTTTCTGTGTTTCATGTTGTTGAATGGTGCGTATCACCAGCGAGCCATGGCGCAGTTCGTCGACCGCCTATCTTGCATTAATCGCTGATGCTTTGCATCCTTGGTCCTCATTAGGTCTTGCCCCTGCCGTCTCCTTACACGGGTTGGGTACCCTGGCACGCTGGCGATCGTTCTCCGTGCCTTTGCCTGTCGTTCTTTTCTCCTGCCCTTCGTTAACGTCCTATATTGCATTGAGTTTTCCCTTTGCGTCGCGTCCAGTATCAAAGGCCGTATTCGTTCGGAAATTTGTTTGGATTTTGAGTTTCGTCACCGTATTTTGGACTCGCTCGGGTAGTCACCCTCGTTCCTCCAGCGGTGATACGCGCGGGTGCGCGTAAAAGAGTGGTGCGTGGCGTCTGGATATTGAGTTTTTTTCCCTGTCGTCGTCTGTTCACGATGATAGCGTGCTCTGCCGCGATACATATTCTTCGTAGCTTTATCCCTTCAAACGTTGTCATTGAGATGTCGATGTTCCGTCTCGTGACCGTTCGCATTCTTCATCTCAATGATGGTGTGGGGGATTGATTCGGGATATTTCTATAACTCACCCTTCTTTTGGATGTTTTGTGAAGAGTCATATCGCCGATTCATGATCATAAATCATCAACTGCAACTTTAGGATTTGAGCATTGATTTGAGATTAGAATCTGCATATATGATATTCAGGGTGGGCTAGTGTTAAGGAGTGTGGCTGCTAGAATGAATAGGGTACATCTCATTGTTGATAGGATGCGGGTCGGTCAGGAGGTATACCCTTCTGAACCCTACCCCCTTAGAATTGTCTACTCTGTGTACCCCCTGAGATGAAGTTGGATCCCCACTTCATACCAGACCCTTGCTGATCATCTCTCAGCAATAGCAAGCAACTTTCCCATCTCAACGTGGTCGTGGACAAGCGTGTCAACGACCAAACCTTCATATATCTCTAGGAGCATGCTACCGCCAACGGCTTCACTCCTTGAAAGAAGTAGTTGCCGATACTTGGTGGTCACGAGACGACCGTGGTCTCTGGTCACGAGAGGATTACCGGGATGGTGGTCGGTTGGTCTATTGCAACTTACTCTTCTTTGTTCTGGGTGGCTTCAACTCGCGTAAACGATGATGATGGACGTATATTTGCTCAACATTTCTGGAAAGTAGTTGCCAATACTTGGTGGTCACGAGACGACCGTGGTCTCTGGTCACGAGAGGTTAAGGAATGTGGTCGGTTGGTCTACTGCAATTTATTCTTCGTTCTGGGTGGCTTCAACTCGCGTAAACGATGATGATGGACGTGATGTAATATATATATATATCGTCGGGGCAAAACTCATTGTCGTTATTGTCGCTTCTATTGACTTCATCTTGTTGATTTACGTCTCGATGACGGTGGCTCAGATACATGCACGCACTACTGATTCGAGGATGCACATTTCCGGAACCATTCTCAATCTTCCTTCCAATGACATCAGGCTGGGCTCCCTCCGATCCCCCGCCCCCTCACTTTCAAGCGCAAAATGTTCAAAACAGTTGTCAGGACAAATATGAATAGTTGTCAGAGAGTTGCTTCCGGGTGTAGTTGCTCTGAACCAAATATTTGCGCAGCTTTTCAAGACAGCAATTGACAGGAACCAAATATTTGCCATTTCTTGCTCTCGGGGCATTTTGGTCCTCATTCCTTTCACCCTATCCAGAGAGAACGTCAAGGCCGCAGCAGACTCAACTACATTCGCAACGAAAAGCGCGAAGATTTGTAGGTCGAGCGACGGCGCAAATCTCTTTCCCGGTGCGCCTTGCCATACGGTCTTCTTTTTCGGCTATGTTGTCGTGGGAAGAAGACTGTTGGTTGTACTGAAGAAGTAGTGCCTCTACGGTGAGACTTTTTTTTCAAGCCCCCAAGATTGGCGACGAAATCGTCGGGGAGAGCCTAGAGAAATGAGTGGGCACAATCCGGCAACCGAGTAGGGTGAGGACAGCCCGTTGAAAGGGATTTCCGCTCGTGTTCGTTGGCGTAGGTTCTTCCGGGCCGCGATTGGCTGCTGTTGTAACGAGACGCATTGGGTAAACTTGTGTGTGGGCGCGTCGAAAAGTTGATTGTTTTGGTAGTAGGAAAAGGGTCGACCTTGTTGAAGGCTCGCTCACCTCTAGACCGCTTTCACCGTTAGGACACTCTGAGTTTCCAGGGCTTGCTGTGTACTCGTGGTTTTGGGCTTTCGAGCGCGTTTGGCAATGATATGGGATCTCGCTCTTAGGGCTTATGAGCAACTTGCTTGTGGTCCTGGTACTTTGAGTAGTAGGCCGCTCGCTTCCCAATAGTTCGCAACAAAGGGGGTACACCGCTCGTCTGTTATCAATCTGACCTGGACTCCCGCTTCGCTTGCTTTCAAAGTACGACTGTTGATTGACTCTTTTGTAGCATAGGTGGGGAAGCCGACCATCCAGTTGTAGCGCGAAGACACCGATCTTCCCCCCCATCCCCGAAATGGCGCCCGTTAGCGTCCCATTGAGTTACCATAAACTTCACAACCGAATTTCCTCCTCCAGGCGGGAGGGTGCTACAGGTATTGCTGTACATTTAGGCTAGAGGTTACATGCTGTGTAGACATTTGCCTGCAACAACTATTGACGCCAGGAGAAGATCTGTTGCTCTCGCGAGGCATCCCATGAGTGTTCGGTTATTAATAGGTACTCTATACCTCACGCGCAAGCCGGAGGCCAAACCGGACATCGGGAAAAATAGGAGATCGTTTTTGCGCCACTTCTCTTCCTGCGGCGGCGGTTGTCTCCTTGTCGTACTCTTGACGAGTTCAGCACTCCCTTGGGTCCGCTTCTGTGCTGGATCACGACTATGCGCTTTCTACTCTTTCACTGTGTAGGTTGCTCGGAGTTGATTCCTCCCGAATCTCGCAGCTCAAACTTGAAACCCTTGTAACCGCAGTATCAACTGAACCACGGTCTCTGGGGCGATCAGATGACGTGCTGCAGTTGGAACAGTAGACTATAGGGTTTGCGCCGGTATTTGAATCGGCTGCCTTGCCGGGGGAAGTCAACGTTGGGTCCAACCGAGGGTACAAGATACAGAAAAACTGAAGGGAAGCTAAGAATTGCCAGGATCGGTGTACCACAAGGCACTGATACGCTCGGGCCCATGCAACCCTTTCAACTCTCGGTCGTGTTCGCTCAATTTGTGTACGTCGTTTCCGGTATCTATCATAGTCTTCCCTCATTCCTTAATATTGTCAACATTGAACATCAACTATATTTCGTTGTTTGATGTTGTCCCTTTTTTACCCATCATCACGCTTATTTGGCCTCCTGCTCGGAACGTGCGTTTTGTGTTCTTGCACGATGTTCTCACACTCTAGCAATCATTGTTCGCCTGCTGCTTGCTGTCCCTTGGCCGTTTCCTGGCTGTCGACCGCAGCACTGCAACTGAAATTAAAATAACTAATTCGGCGGTCTGGACTGGTACATGTGGCGAAAACAACATAGTTCTGTTTCGTTTTTTGGTCGATACACTACTACTGTTCTACAAGGCATGGGGGGTAATGAGCCGCATTGTGCGACTCAATACCTTGCAGTAGTCTTATCTGCGATGCTGATGGTGCACGAATGAATCCTGACACACACCAGCATGAATCGTTTGTGGTGCAGCTACTACGCGTGCACCACAGAGAGAGGGGCAGCAAGCGTACGACGGGAGCGACGATGGTTGTATGTGTGGCCACCGTTTAATATTTGCACTGTACACATGGTCCGTTCGGGCAAATATTCACAATATTTTCCCCTGCACAAAGTTGCACTTTTCTCGGGGTGGGGGTACTTATTCCGAAATCTGAAAATACCGCGTAAATCGACGTTTATGTTTGCTCAAGAATTCTGGATTATTTTTCTGCAGGCAACCAAAGAAAAACCCAAGACACATGAAACAAATTGAGAGCGCAGGTAAAATGCCGTCTTGCTCCCAACGTTATCTTATCGGACTAACCCGTTGCAAACTTCTCAAGATTGGCCTACTATCATTACTATTGTTTCGGCCTCTGGCCTAAACATATCTTACTCATAATAAACTCACGGTACTCCTATTTAGTCGTCGACCGACTAGACCCCCCATGCTCCCCCCTCTCTTGAGCGACAGGTGTGGGTGGGCGGGAAAATCGATCAAATCCTAGAAGGCACTCCGTGTTTGCTGCTCCTCAAANATGGTCCGTTCGGGCAAATATTCACAATATTTTCCCCTGCACAAAGTTGCACTTTTCTCGGGGTGGGGGTACTTATTCCGAAATCTGAAAATACCGCGTAAATCGACGTTTATGTTTGCTCAAGAATTCTGGATTATTTTTCTGCAGGCAACCAAAGAAGAACCCAAGACACATGAAACAAATTGAGAGCGCAGGTAAAATGCCGTCTTGCTCCCAACGTTACCTTATCGGACTAATCCGTTGCAAACTTCTCAAGATTGTTCTACTATCATTACTATTGTTTCGGCCTCTGGCCTAAACATATCTTACTCCATTAGGCATGTCCGATGACCTACTCCTCCGAACCGCTCCCAGGTCACTCCTCGGGTTCCGTAAGGGCCTGAGACACAAACTTTGCTCCTTCACCCCCCGCCCTAACATACACCATAAAAGCCGATGGTTTCCACCTCCCGGCTCTCTGGATCTGAATCACCGACGCCCCCATACTTGCTAGATGCGTGGCCCCCCCGATCCTTACTGAATGCAACGCATACTTCTGTGGGTCTCTACCCGCCGCACTCACGAGTAACCTGAGGTGTCTCGATGCCTCTGCCCTCGAAATCACCTTCCACCTGTCTTGTGCCCACGATTGCATCAACGGCGCATGACTCCCGAGCTCGGGGTGCAGATCTAACAGATCGAGTAACACCTTCAACGCTTCTCCCGATCTAGTGACGGTTGCTCCCAAACGTTTTTGATCTGCTTTTGACGCTCTGAACGTGACTTCCACTCGGCTGGCCTGCCTCCGGTCTGCCCATGCAACCCTTACCGGACCGCAAAAGAAACCCAGGTCTCCTCTTGTCAGACAAAAATCCGAGTGCACGAGCCCCGAGTCGTCCGCCCAGATTTCTGAGGCTCGGCACATCAGCAAGTACGAGAGGGCAAGTCCACACCAGATCAACTTCCCTGATTCTCCCGAATTTTCGACCACGCACTTTCCAGCCTCTAACATGTCCCAAGAAAGTGGATTCCTAACCCTTGGCTTCGTCTGCGTATTGGCGTGGACCCCATCAATGGTCTTCAACATGGCAAGGATCTGGAAATGCGAAGTGGGCAACTCCCATCCTGCGTGCATCTTATGGAAGTACTTGACGGCTGAGAGATACCCGCGGATAGTCTGACTCTGGTTCTTGTGGCCGAAACACCGGCAAGCCATGAACACAGACAGCTCACGCACCGCACTTTCCACCCCATCGCTCTCGCGGAGCCACGGGCCCGAACCCGCCCCTGCTCGAGCCTCCTTCCACGTGTTCCACATCCTTTGATACACCTTGTTGGTACCACTTCCCAAAGACCCGAAGGTGAGTGCGTTGACCAACCGCTCCCCCTCGACGCTCGTGCCTCCCCGGCCATCCTTTCCCTGTGTTCCTGATATTCAATCATCGGGTATGCACAGCGTGGGGAATGGCACATTTCGAGGTTCCTTTCCAAGGTACGACAAGTTCATGCCGAAACCGTGGATAGCCCCGACTTGGCTTGAAGGGAGAACAGAAAAACTTGGTCGTCCAAACCAACTCTGCCTCCCCTGGCTATCCATTTTATCAAGGCGTCATGAAACAGTGAATGTGAGGCGTGTCCACCGCTCCAACTTCTCGCTATCTCATTTCGTTTGATGATTCGTTGATCGTCCGGAAAAACACGGAGCGGTGTCCATCCGCCCCTTCTGCCGTGTCAGATATTTTCTGTTCCATGGACCATAATGTCCCATACCGAGTCGTCCAGACTTTCTTTCGGCAATTTCTTTTGAAGGATAAGGCTGAGCAACGCTCGTCCCCCTTCTCCAATATCCTGCTGTGTCCACCCTGAGTCTTTTGTGAGCATTTTCACGTTGGCGGCGATCTCGTTTTCTTTCCAGCGTGAGATCCCGTCCGCAAGTGTGTTCTTTCGACCAGGGATGTGCTTGGCCACGTGGCACCAGCCGCAAGAAATTTTCACCCTACCCATGAGTCTCATTATGAGGCTAGCGCGCCTGTCACGCGATCCCCCACACCTGTTAGTCCAACTGACGGCCGACACGTTGTCTCCACGCATCAACACCGACTGCCCTTCTTCTACAGGTCTGTCTTTCAAGATCATTTGGACTACCCACGCCGTCATGAACATGCCCGCGAGTTCTAACAGATTGATCGTAATGTCCGACGTCTCCTTCTCTTGCGCCTTGCGCTTGAGCTCCGCAGACAACGATGAGTCGATCGTGTATCTCCAGAAAATCTTTAGTTCGGGACAGTAGCCGCCAATCGCTGTGAAGCTAGCGTTTGAGAGGTAAAGGCGTGATGGTGCTCGTTTTACGTGTAGTAGGAACGATGCGCTGAGGGACTCCCCTCGAAGTGCCAGTGGCTGATTGAGGGCCCACTTCCAGAAGGCGATATCGCCGTGGAACTCTCTACCCAAGTCCACTAGTCGTCGTGACCGTGTGTGTCGACTGGCCTGCGTATGCAGACCCGATAGGCGGAGTAGTTACCACACGAAGTACCTACCGGCCCTGATAACGTAAGTGAGGTTCCACAGTTTTCCTGCAATGCTGAGGACTTCTTGAACACTGGCCTTCTTCCTATCGTGGGGCCAATCTGTCTCTAGTATGTTCCGAATCGCGCTTACCCTTTCCGGTGTAGTTGAAGTTCTGCTGGCATGCGTGTCAATGATGTACCCCAGGGCCTCTATGACCGTGTCCCAGTCAGTGCTCTTTTTCGGGGCGAGAATGGGGGTTTCTTCGAGTTCTCCCTTGCCAAACAGTCTGGCATGGTCTGACGCTAGTGAGGCGGACGCAATGGGTGCCGATTGGTCAGTGGGGTCATGCTGGACCTTCGTGAGCAAGAAATCGTCAACGTAGACCCTGGCCAAGAAATCGTCCGCGGGTCCCGCGCCTCTATGCGGTCTTCCGCCTACCGACGATGGTATTGTGGTTGGGGTGCCTTTTTCCCAAGGAGGGTTTATTTTCACGTGGGACATCATTGCGATTCCTTCTGGTAGTAGTCGAGCGTTCGCGAAGGACGTGTTGCGGTGCGAGTGCTCTGCAGCGGAGGCTAACACACCCCACAATCCTGGTGACGCTGCCCAGCCAAAGGTCAGCCGTAGATCCGCTACTAGCACGTCTCCTATCACGTAGCAAAAGTTGTGTGCATGATCTGGTGATATCCTCACATTTCTGAACGCAGAGGTGACATCAGCCTTGGCTGCGAGGATTCTCTTGTCTGGCCATCTTACTCGTAGGCTAGTGAGCTCCTCGAGGAAAGCTGGTAGGGCTTCGCCGCACAGGCAACGTGGAACTCCGGACATAATGGTATCTTTGTTGAGCCCACCTTTTGACCCCTTGCTAGTGCTTGGGTCAAAAGAGAAGTCGTTGATGATCCTCACTTTTTTCCCTGGGACCGCTCCCAACGGGGCTACTCTGATCCCACGTACGTCCGACGCGTTCGCCTTTCTCAGGACGTTACACCTGTATCGCTTGACATCGTCGCATAGGTTTTCCCACACTTGCGTTTGGTGTTCGTCTACGCTACGGTGGTTGCCGTATGCCAAGGCTTTCTTAAGGTTTTGCTGCGAGTCTAGAGTGGGGGCCGGGGCTCCTTCGCCGACTATCTCAATGAGGTCATCGATACCCGGAAAGCCCTTCTCCTCTCCGAAATACTGCTTGACGTCGCTCACGTCCAACGGCGGTGACACCAAAGTGCCGCCGATTCCCCTCGCGACGTCTCCCAGCCTTCCATCGTGGAGCTTTACCAAATCACTACCAATGTCCGCCATCTTCCGAATGATACATTGCTTCTCGTCTAATGAGTGTGTGCTTGACGCGAGTCTGCTTCTCTGTACCTCGAGTCTATCGGTCAGAGTTTTTGAATTTTCCGACAAGGTTGTATTTTTTGGACTCTCTAGGGCCGAAGGATCTTTCCCCGCCCCAAAGTGAGAAGTCGTTGAATTCGACCCGCAATCATGTCGCATTACTTTTGTGATGTCAGCGGCCCTAGCAGTGTCCGCCGCTAGTGCCCTACGTGCCAACAGTGCTTTCCCCGGGGTGTCCGCCCCCGGGAGAGCTTTTGACACGGTCATGGTGTCCGCCAATTCCGTATCGTACCCGCGAATGGTGTCCGCCAATCGGGGCTGTGTGACTGACAAATTCTTACGCAGGGTGTCCGCCCTGTGTATGTCCTTCTGCACACTACTGGTGTCCGCCAGTATTTTTTGTTTACCGACAACGCTCGCGGCGTCCACCGCTTGCGTGCCACGGGGCCAATTACATCCGCCCGGGGTGTCCGCCCCCGAGGCGACTGCATTGCAATGTTCAGCACGTGTGGTGTCCGCCACAGTCTTCGTGGCGTATAAGGCAGAGCAGTAATTGATCCCGCTATTGGTGTCCGCCAATAGGTATTCCGTTACTGAGTTTTTCGCGGGAACGGCGTCCACCGTTTGCGAGAGTGAGGGTAATGCATGTTCACACCGGGTGTCCGCCCGGTGTGTGTCAGTATTCGCACAATTGGTGTCCGCCAATAGTTTTGACTCATCTATCACCCGTGCGGTGTCCTCCGCTTGTGTGTTATTTGACCCGTACTTAGCGCCGAGGGTGTCCGCCCCCGTAGCTACTGTTTGTGACGTTTCGGCGTGAGTGGTGTCCGCCACTATGCAAGGCGAAAACGAATCCGAACAGTTAACAGTATGGGAAATTACAGGTTCGCAACTCATGCTCTCACCGTAAAACACAGCGGGTGCCACCGACCCGGGAAGGGGAACTCCCACGCTCGCTACTGTCCTTCTGCTGTCCGCGAAGGCGTTCGCTCCCGTGCCAAGCTCGCCACCCCCCCTTGTCGGCCCCCCCTCGTGAAAGTGGGGCCCGCACCGTCACGGGTGGGTACCGCCACGGCCTCCTCCCGCGCTCCCTCCACCTCCTCCCCCTCCCGCTGCTCCTCCTCCCCGGCCGCCTCCGTGGCTGTTTACCTCGCGACTGGTGCTTGTGTCGCTCTCGAGACAGGGGGGGCACGAGCGGGCGGAACGGACGGAGGGGAGGGGAGGGGAGGAACGGCAGGCAAGAGTGACGGGTGCCGCTGGTTGTGCACCTTTTCGCACCGCGGGCGTGTGCAGTTCGTGTCCGACCACGTGTAGAAGCACTCGTTGTCGGGAGTGTTCCAGGCGGCGACGGTCTGTGCAAACGCGGTGGCGGCTGCCGTGGAAGCGGACGGGACTGGGGCAACGGGGGTGCGTGCAGGTTGACCCTGGGAAGTAGCCTTGCCCTTGGTGCTCGCGGACGACGGTTTTGGCTGTTGTTGACGGGCTAGACCCCCCTGCAGAAGGCCCACCATCGAAGAAGCCGTACCCTCCGCAATCAGGACCAACGTCCTTGAGAACTGCGGGACTTGGATCGCCCCCACCGTATAAGGGGGTGGGGGGGCGAGGGTGTTGCGCTGCCGGAGCGCCCTAGCTTTGGTGGTCAGACGACCGAAGAAATCGGCCCAATCGAGGTTGGCGTCCTGCTTGAACCTGGCGAAGACATCGGCCTCGCGGTCCTTGAACTCGGCGCAGAGGCGGGACGAGTACCGGCGGAGGTTCTCGGAGATCCTGAAGAGTTCCGGGAAAAACAGGCCAACTCGGTCGGCCCCGGTCGCAGAGGCGCCCGCCATGCCGTCCTTGATGAAGACTTCCAGGACGCGAATGAAGGTGTCGAGATGCACGTCGAACGTGCGTGTCACCGCCGCTACCCCCGGGGGGCGCGGCGGCGAGAACGCCGCGATGTCGATGGCGCTGAAGGTAAGCAGCGCGTGCAGGCCCGGGTGCGGGTGGGCCACGTCCCGAATGATGTGGTCTAGCTCGCCCCCCGTCATGACGATAGGCGAGAAGGTAGCGCCTCGCATTAGGTACAGGGCCGCTTGACCGTCCTTCTCCCACGTGCGGTCCTCCAGCTTTTGGGCTTCTTTCAGCCGATGGGCATTGTATACAGGCGCGGCCCCCGGGATGCTCGCGAGCTGTTGGTATCCCTGCGGCGTGGCCGACTGGTGGTAGTGCTGGCTGGGGTAGGCCTGAAGTTGTTGTTGATACTGTTGTTGCAGCGGTTGCGGCTGCTGCTGCTGGTGAGGTTGTTCTTGCTGCTGCTGCTGCTGCTGCTGCTGCTGCGGCGGCTGCTGCTGCTGCTGCTGATGCAGCTGCGGCTGCTGTTGTTGTTGTCGCTGTTGCTGCTGCCTGTTTTGGTCGTCCCCGCCGCCGGCAGCCGAGTTTGGAGGACTGCCGTCCCCCGAGTTGCCTGGAATGGCCGCCGCGGCGCCCGCCGCGGCGCTCGCGCTCGCCGGTTGCCCATCATTGGCGTCCATCCAAAAATCAATCAAATCCTAGAAGGCACTCCGTGTTTGCTGCTACTCAAAGCTGCTATCTCTGCTACTCCTCTCCTTCTCTCAAATGCACTTGCTGCTTGTCTCTCGCCCAGCGAGAGCACAAAAACTTTCTGCCATTATGGCNGCGCGGGCTGCCGGTTGCCGGTCAAGTTTACCACCACCTCCTGGAGAGAACGTATCTGTAGTTGCTGGCGGTGGCTTTGATTGACGAGCTGTTGTAGCAGCGAGAAGACGTTCGGGTTGTTCCCGGCCCCCTGCTGCTGCTGCTGCTGCTGNGCTTACTTTCTGGAGGGCGGTGTTTTTTGCAGACACAAAATATGAGACCGGATTTGGACAGCTCTCGTGATTTGCCACCGATGATTTTTTTCCGATTTTCAATTTGACAAAAAATAACGGAGTTATGGGCAAAAAACCGGATATTGGAGGGTATTTTGCTTAGTTTCTTGGGGACAATCCAAATGTACGATTCAAAAATGAAGTGCTGCAATCGATTCCTGTCGTGATTTCCCACCGATGATTTTTTCCGATTTCAAAAAAAAAATCGGGTTTCGGAGATATTTCGGGTGGTTTCACACGCCCTCGGGGAATTTTTTCCCGCCACACACACACCAGAGGACACACACACA